TTCCTGTATGAGACGGTATACCCATATTACAAATGTATAGCTAAAATCAGCACCACAATAGCTATATGGGAGTTTTCTTTTACCATGGCATGATGGCTTGGAAGATAATGTCGGAGTCCAAGTTGGGATAATCTTGGTTGATCCCTCCAACACATCATATGTGAATAACGTTATATATCGTTAGTTCTTATATATTGTTTTTCCTCTTCCTTTTCGATACGTAAACCATCCAGTTGTATCCGTTATCACGTTAGACATAGTGGCAGATATACTTTTCGGTGGTGGAACGATCAACTCTGGACTGAACAGAATTACGAATGTTGTAATTCTTAATTGTCATCATCGCTTCTTCTTTGCATGAAAACTTTATTCCTTTATATAGTTCACCATCATTGACTGATGATTTAAATTTATAGTCACCGACATTAGGCATATCCGCAAATTCTGGCCCGTACATTGCATCATAGTCAGCTTCATACATGTGTGCTGGAGGTTTGGTGTGTATTGTATTTGTGGGAACTTCATTTACATTATCATCATCAAAGTCCATGTTGAACTATGGTGATTCTGGCTGAACGAATAGTCCAGTCTCAGCACCATTCGCACCTGACTCACGAAGAGGTTCTTCTGGTAGAGATGAGGGTTCCTCCACGATGTTGACATTTAGGTCGAACAAGCTGGTAGTTGAATGCCTTCCCCTTGAACTTGAAGGTATCTCAACATTGAGGTCGAAGAAGCTCGCAGTTGAATGCCTCCCCTTGAAACTTGAAGGCATCGTGTCAAATGGGTATTGCACAGATTGGTGCGTCAAGGGCATCTCCATATTCAGGTCAAAGAAATTAGCAGATGAATGTCTTCCCCTTGAACTGGACTCGATGTTTCCATACGGATTATTTTTGGAGCCACCTCAATACAAATCATAACACGTTGTTGATGAATGTCTCCCTATTAAACTTGATGTGATCGCACCATGATTTGAATTTCCCATTAACGAGTTAAAATCATTACACATTACTTGAGTTGGGTTGTCAACTTGATCAGCTTATTGAGTCAGCCCATAGTGGGAGCATAATGGCATACCACGAATAACACGCACTTCAATAAATATCGCATACATTGTGTATCAGTGTCTGAATATTGATTTTGAGAATCAACCATCATAGCAACATTGTCATCGTTGGAGAGTTCGAACGCTGTATAAGTTAACAGAAATACTGCAGTTACAAATATGTACAGGAGTGATGACAGTCTTCTAGTACTTTCAACATGAACCTTCCTTGAAATTTTCGTTATCAGCTCCTCAAGAGTGATGTGTCTCTTTAAGGATATTCTAACAGAATGATTTGATGCGAAGATGAAGCCAATTTCATCTTCCCGAATTTTTCCATCATAGTAAACAATAGTTGAAATACGCGTCATTTTAAGAGTTTGAAAGATTGAGAGTCTTATATCTGCAAAAAAAATAGTTGAAATACGCCTAATTAAATAAATAACATATGAATTAACATCCCAAAAATCGGGTTAGTGACTAAAATGAAATTTTTTGAAATTTGGTAATCAATTCTGGAAAATTGAAAAGTTCAAGAACTTAATTGGAATATAATTGTGTAGGATTGAATAGCCAAGTTAGAAAGTTGAAAGGGCATAATGGTCATTTGACAAAGAAATAATTAAAAACTCTTTGAATGTGTTATATTTAAGCACTTGGAGAAGGAAAGAATGGAGGAAAAGAAAAATCTGGAGACCTGGAGAGCTATCTTCTTCTCCACCGTGACTCCATAGCTAAGGTGAGAAATCTTTCTAGTTGGTTAATTCTTGCACTTTAGTTATGGTTTTGATCCTTGAGGTGCTAGCCAAGCTTAAGGAAAGCTTAAGGTGGTCTAAAAATAAAAGATGGATAAGTTATGTGTGAATTAGTAAATGGGGATTTTAAGTGAAATTATGGAAAAGAATGAGTTAGTGAATTTTGAAGATATATTTGACTTGTCATAAGTTGAGATAAGAAGTATCATGTGTTAGAAATGAGTTTAGAACACATTGAAAGTATAGTAAAATTCTTAATTTCAAGAATTATAGTGAGATATTGAAGATGATGAGGTGTTATAGTGCTAAAAGATGGTTTAAGTATGTATAGTTGAGTTTAAAAGCCTGAAGGGAGTTAAATAAGTAGAGTTTGGGTAAAGTATTGGTAATTTTCGGGTTAAAGAAGTCTATTATGGGTTAGTAGGATCGGTACTGGTTGAGTAAGTACCAATACTATAAGGTAAAATATGTGAAATTATGTGTAGGGTATCGATACTGCATGAACAGTATCGATACCATAAGGCAAAAAGTAGGATAAATATTCATAGGGTATCGATACTGAAGTGGTAGTATCGATACCATGGGTATCGATACCAATGGGGAGGCATCAGTACCATTTCTTGCAATGAAATTACAAAATCAAAAATGGGTATCAATACCGTGGAATGGTAACGATACTATAAGTATAGAGGTATCAGTACTATGCTTGTAGTACCGATACAACCTAAGTTGGAATTTAGGAATCAGTGCTTTGTTTAGTTTATATTGGCAAGAATCTTTCCGAGTATTTCAAATTCTGATATTCATTGAATTGTATATTCGTGTAGATATCTATCGAAGACAAGTCCAAGATGGTTCGAAGTATAAAAGTGTACAAGAGTTGTACGTATATGAATGACTAGTGAGGCCCAGGTGAGTTCGTATTATTATATATATGAAGTTTTATGGAAATAAGACTTGCGATGAGTCTATTTACATATTAAAGTGTATGAATTTATTAATACAAACATGTGTTTGTTATGATTTGTATGTGTACATGAGTATATGTGTTGACATGTTATTGTATGGGTTGTATGATCGATGTCCTACATGAGATATGTGAACATAAGATAACAAAATATAAACCATATGATAATGAATTATGAGACTACGTGAATACATTTCTATGAGAGAAATTATGTGATTATGAGCTATGTGATAATATAAGTTATGTAATTATATGATCATAATAGATAAGTCATATGACAAGATATATGTGATACATGAAAACATGATATAAGCTATGTATATGTGATGAGCCATGTGAATATATGTCTATGAGAAGACATAAGAACAAGTTATAAGCCATATGATTGTGATATGTGAATTATATGGAAATATTCTACGTGTAAGTGAAATACGTGTCCATGTGAATATGTAAAATGACATAAAGAATAATGTCCATGTTATATGATATGAGAGCTAGGGGTATAGTTGGCATGCCAAAAGTCGAGGGTTCTATGTGGTTCTTCGGGATATATATGTAATCCTTTGGAACATGTATGCGGTTTTTCGGGACACATATTTAGTCCTTTGGAATATATATGTGATCCTTAAGGAGTGGTCCTTCGGGACAAATTCTATGTACCCCTAGTGGGAATTTATACGAGCTGTGGTGACAACATATGTGCACAACCTCTATGTACTCACATATCTTTAGTTCTCAGAAGTATACATGAGCTAATAAATAGAATAAATAAATAAACTTGGTATGATGCTATGTGTGTTTCTTTGAGAAATAATATGTGTTATATAATATATAGAAATGATAAGTACAAGATCATATGATAAAAGGAATTAATGATAATAATATAGATAATGATAAGAATGTTAATGATGATCTATGTGTGTGTGTATTTCTTTATATGTAATATTATATGATACGATGTTATGAAATGTTTTGTATTTAAGTATTCAAGTTTTCATTATAAGTTTTTTTATGTCTCACTAAGTCATTGACTTAGCGTGTGAATGTTTCACACGTAAGTTCCGAGTTGTAAGAGGAGCAAAGATAGGCAAAACAAGTCAGCCTCTCCTTTCCAAAAGATCATATCAGAAAAGAATTTGAATTATATGTATTTTGTTATGTTGAATATAGTTGGCATTTAATAAGAGGTTTGAGTTAATTATGCTCTGATATGTTTTGTAAGACCAATTAATTTGAATTAATGCAAATTATTCAGTTTTGAGTTAAAGTTGAAATTGAAATTCTTTAGTTATTTCGAAAAAAAAGTAAATGATTTGAAAAGTCAATGTGACATATTAGACTCGTATTCGGATCGGTTACGGGATGAGATTGTTACATTTAATGGTATAAATTAGTCCAAAAAATTTAAAAATTTTCACAATAATTTAAATAACATAATTTCTTATTATTACTGTACCGGCAAAAATATCTCGAGGTATGATCCCATTTTCTAATTTTACAACCACAAAAAATAATACAAAATAATTATTACAATAAAATTTATTCAAATAATTATATATAAAATAAATATAATATAATAAAAATAGTTTTACATTACAAAAAAATAGAAGAAATTGATAAAAAAAAGAATAAGCAAATAATTTTGGTGTGGTGATGTTTGTATTCAGAGGGGGTTCTTATTTATTGGAGAGGGAGAGGGTTTAAAAGACGAGTTGCTCGTGTAATAATGGAATACCAATAATTCAACGTACATAATGGAAGGCGCAGATCATGATTCGCACCTTCCTTACGTGTCAGAAATCCCGTTAATGCGAGGATGGTAATCCGCGCCTTTCTTTACGTGGCACCAGCTCGGGCAAAACCAACGAAGGTGCGGATGACGATCCACGCATTTTTTTACATTGCCCCAGCTCGGACCCCGAAAGAGCATATGACAATCCGCTCTTTGTAAAAAAGAGTGTTAGAACAGTAATATTAGGAGAATGAATGTCTGACTGATAATTATTATATGTATGGATGATATTTAGGTAAAAATACCTCAAAATCGAAGGATAAGACCCCACCTAAGACTTTTCCACGTCCGCTCTAATCCATAAAGCAGTTTCAACACACGCGCACATTGTTACGGGTGGATCCTACTTTTTTTATTTATTTATTTTGTTCTCTGAAAATTCCAATTTAACCGGAATAATCTAGCACCGCCGCGATACTTTTCCTTTTATTTTTTTCCCTCCGGACTCTCCCCGCTCCATAATTTCCCGATAAACAAACAAAGCTTTGGCTATCAGAACTCTCCGGTTGTTAATTCCTCTCCAATCAAACAGTGGTTTTGATAACTGTCTTTGCCCCTGAATTTATCCATTTGCCTCGTTCTTAGAAAAGAAAAGGAAAGAAAATCTCGTAGTATCTCAAAAATCTTTTCTACTTTCATCTTCTGATAAAAGGGTTCAGAAAATTTTTCATCTTTGAATTTTTAATTGGATTGAGGAAAAAAAGATGATGAGAAGAGAACAGGAAAGCCATCGACATCAGGATCAGCAATCCAGGGTATTCTACGAGCTGTCGGCTTTGGTTATGAATCTTCTACGGTCGCCGCCGGTTCCTTTCACCGATCAATCTTCAGTGTCGGAGAGGAGGTCTAATCCCCTAGATGTATCGACGATATCTCCGGCGGGATTCGCTTGGCTGATGCTAGGGATATCGGTTTCGATGATGCTAGGTGGATCGGTCACTTTCTTTATAGGGTTCATGTTGATTCCTTGGGTTATTGGTTTATTAATGGTGTGTTACGTTGCTGGGATTGTTTCCGCTATTGCCCTGTTGGGTCGTTCTATTCTTTGTTATGCCTTGGCCCCTCCTTCGCCTCGAAAACATATTCCTGGTAATTGCTCCCCCCCCCCTCCTTCTTCACTGGGATTTTATAACTAGGGAGGAAAATTCATATTCTGTTCTAGATTATTTTAGTTGGATTTCTTCAATTCCGTAATAGTAGTGCCAATATGCTATAGGAATTGTGATGGTTGGATGAATATAGAATGAAAAATCTCATATTCCCCAAGTTATCAATGCATATGATCTGTTCTACTTTCAGCTGAAATTTAGTTTTAGATGATGATGATGGTGATGATGGTTATTTGGTTTATCAAACTTGAGCAAAGATTTGAAGCAGACACGCTGCATTGAGCTTGTGGTTTCCAACTTGTAGCTGGTTCATTATGATATCAAGACAATATTTTGCACCATAGCTTAATTTTCTATCTCATATCTCTGCTCTTGGTATTACTTTGTTATTGGTCATGTTTTGCATTGTATAAGAAGTTTTCAAATGCTTATGAAGCTTCTTATTTCTTTCATCAATGAATTGAGCATCAAATGTATGTAACATTTGTTAGACTGCTGATACACTATTTGTTTCAAAACGATTCTTCCATTACAGCATGGTAGATTTTTGTGAAGAGGAAAGGTGGATTTGGCGAAGCAGTTGGGGATGCCTTTGATAGATTGAGAATCGAGCAGAGCATTTGGATTGTTGCGAGTGATGCCACGTAGAGGGGAAAATGAATTCACCAGGTTTCTTCGGGTGCCAATACAGGGAAATGTAGATGACTCTTTGCTTGGGATGTTAGCTGAACTATGTGAATATTGTTTTTCTGAAATAGTGACTTGGTAAAGTATTTTTCACCGTATCCATGTGTATTGCATTCTTATTTACCGGGAAAAAGAACCAGGGGAGAGTAGATTGATTCCCATTTTGTTTTCTATATTGGATTTGTATTGAACAAATGGCATTTAATCAGCATGAATAATGCTTATCCAAAACAGCAAACATGGCATTTGACAATGTCCAAAGGGCGGGTCAAATAAAGAGGCTTTGCAGTTGCTGTTGCATTTACATTACGCAACTCTCTCATGCTTATCCTAATACTTATCCTAATACTTGTCTACACGATGGATGCTTGATGGCTATGAATATTCATAGCGTAAAAGGATTTAGTTTTATCTCAAGGATGAAACACCTAACAGTTGCTCCAGGCTATAAATAGATAATTTATCAACAACAAAAAATAGAAGGTAGTTTTCATATAAAATCAAAAAGATGTCGTTTTGATACTTATAAAACTACTCGAATCTGTAATCTTGTTTATATTAGTATATTGAAACTTGCTCTAAAACGGATGAATCCCATTTCAAGATGGTCAAAATTTGATAATAGAATTTTATACAATTCATAGGACGTTCTTCAAATATTTTGTGCTTTAGATTTCTTGAGATCCTGAAAATTTGTTATCAAAATTTTCATCTCCAACCTTTATTTCTGCAAAACTTATTTAACTTTTCACGAGTGAATTTTTTTTTTTTTTTGTGTGTGTAAGTATTCACGTGTGAACTTTTGTTAGAAAGGCTTGGGGACTAATCCCCTTTTATATAGGAAGAATGGTTCAAACTGTTGCAGCTGTTAGACCGTGTGATGGTCATGATTTGTTTCAAGTGGAATTCATGGGGCTCATGATATTCAGGTGGTCATGTGGGGTTGCATCGTAGAAAAAATCCGGATTAAGTGCTCGTTTCAGATCAATTTGGCCTGCTCCCATTACTAATGGTGAAGCAAGAGATAAATGAACATCATCATTGTCTCGTATTAATTTCAGTGTTGTCTAATGGATTTGCAGTATTGACCATGGCGGAGACCTTTTAGCAGCCGCACTCCATATGGGGTTTTCACCTTTTAATAGATAGGCAACACCAGATGCATGACGGCAAGCCGTTGATGTTCCGATGAGCATAGCAAAGTTACTTGATAAGAATATATAATCCTCTTTCTCCATTACCGATCGAATTAACGAATTGAACATACCTACCAGCTGCAACTGTCATGATCCATGGGATTCCATCGCACAATTTCACAACCGGCGTTTCCAGTCGATGATGAGACAAGCATACCTTTCTCCATGGCAGCAAATGAAGCAATAGCGATAGGATCCTCGTACAACTGCACTCCATTGAACCCCATAGATATAAATATCACATCAACACCATCATCATTCATCAATAGCCTCGTCAATACCTGCAAGAACAACAGACAAGCAGCGCCCCTCCCCATTTTTCCTTAGGACTTTATACATAGCCAACTTGGAGCGCGGGCGCCGTGCCTGTAGAATCAACAAAAAATGACTCCATTAACATAGTTCCCGCCCGCAGTGGAGGAAGTATGTGTTCCATGACATCCAATGTCCCTAACAGAATTCATGCGTTAAATTATCAGTATGCATCAGCGGGTGAAAACATTCAAATAGAAGAACACGCTGTTCTGGGAGCCTTGGATCTTGACCTTTGAAGGTAAACATAGAACCGTCCTGGTTCATATCGAACGTGTTGTAGTAGCGGTTGACTACTAGGTCTGGATCATCCAAAAAACAACCATAAGTGGCTTGAATTCAACAAAAACACATCTCAGAATATATAATATGAATTATTAACATATCAAAATCTTATAATTATATAAAAATATACATATACATAAACATGACACATGTACACAAATCGTTCAATCGAAATATAAACTGATCAATAATTTTTATTAATTAATGTACAAGGCTCAATCTCCCCTGTTGTTAGAGAAACAAGCAAGCAAATCCTGAATGCTCTCAAGTTTCCGCTGAATATGAAGTTAGAGGCAAGCAACGTGTATTATACAGATACACTCAAAAGGTATATGATTTTCTTCCCTACATTTCCATGTGGGGATTTTGTTTTTTACCCTTAGTTAAATCGAAGATATTTTACTGCACAGAAATCTCAATTCACCAACCCTGCTGAAAGGCCAGCTTTACCGGCAAAAAAGGAAAAAGATTGAGAAAGCTTTGCTATCTGTACTGTAAATTACAAGAAAATATGATATCCGAGCATGGCTTTATATACACTGGCACAGTCCGACAATCCTTGCATCAAACACACTTTGCTACAAAAAATATGTTCCCTGTAAAACATAACCATCATTCATGGCATGATGTCAAAAGATTGATAAAAAAACACACACACACAAACTTGATGCTTGATTTTATTACGGCTAGAGAAGTAATTGCGTGGTTTTATGAGGCCGGGAGAGAAACTAAAAAACAGACGTTAAAAGGTAACTCACTCTTGGAAAGAAATGGAACTTATTGAAGTGTCTCAAAGCATGCCAAAGAAGAGGCAGCCGTATCGATACCATTGGCATGTTGTAAGCAGAAGTCCTTTCCAACAGATTCTGATCTAATGCCTAATGGAAAAATCGTGAAACTTCCTGGTATAATTGCTCAGCTTCAAATGGTTTTGACACATATCCGTCCATTCCGCACCGTAGGCATTCCTCGTGCGTGGCCCGGATAACATCTGCGGTCATAGCCAGAATTGGTACATGCCAGTTCAAAACATTATTACAAGTTTGGACCGATAATTCTCCAAAATGGATACGATTATTGATATTCTGTTCTGAATCCCGAATTCTCTTTGTAGCTTCAAACCTGTAAAATGCCAACATAAGACATCATAAAAGGCAACATCAATGCAAATTAAACCAACAAAAGATTATTTTTCTCTCTTATTTTGTAAGGCTTTAAAACTCATTTCCGTTGCATAAGTTCGTTCTAAATGCAATCAGGGGATTACGTACCCATCCATTTCAGGCATTTGAATATCCATGAAACAGGCATCGAATTGGTGAGGTGGTGTAAGCAATTCAATAGCTTCCATCCCACTTGAAGAGCTAACCACATCAGCTCCGTATTTTTTCAAGGCACCAGCAGCTACTTTTAGGTTCACATTGTTGTCATCTACAATTAGAATTTTTCTCCCGAGAAGAAGACTCCTAAGAGACAGACTAGGTAACTCCCCATAACATGGATTCCCTTTGTTCCCATCATCCATGGCTCGTTGTAGAGATGCCGCTAACATGCTAGCCCTCAAGGGCTTCGGGATGACGGTCAAGTTACAAACACCAGAAGTAGTAGGATTTGCTCGGGAAGATCTGATAGAATTAGACAAAAGGAATACCTTTGGAGAAGTACTAAGATCTATTTTCTCCAAGTTATTGATGAAGAGAGACGAACTGTTTAGATCTCGATCCCAAACCTCCTGTTCAATGAGAACCATGTGTGTAACATTACTCCTCTGGCTTATAATAGATAAACCTTGTTTAAAAGTGGAAACTACTTCAACATGAATTCCCAGCCTCTGGATATGATATCTCGACACTTTGGCCCGGACAGGTCTAGGATCCACAACTAATGCTCTCATCCCACGAAACTCAGAGGATACTGAGTTGGTATGGTTGTTGATTTGCTGACTCTTGTACTCCTTTGAACTAGAGGAGCTGCTAGTGAAAACAGCAGTAAAGGTAAAGGTGGAACCAATCTTAGGAATACTAACAAAACTGATTTCTCCTTTCATTAGACTAACCAAACACTTGCTTATGCTTAGTCCAATGCCCGTGCCCCCATGTGTTCGGGATATAGAAGGGCCAACTTGCATAAAAGGTGTGAAAACACGAGGTTGTGCTTCTATAGGGATTCCTTCTCCTGTATCTTCAACTGATACGATAAGATGAATGCTGTCAGAGAGAGGATGAATGGATTCTTCTTGACTGAAAGTTCTAAACCCTTTCCAGCTCTGCCGTCTATCCGCAACTGGGAAGCCACTCAAGGTATTCTTTGGCAACAATTTTGTCTCAACTTCTATTGAATCAATTACCTCTTCCACGAGATGAACTGTAACATGGATGTGCCCTTTCTCAGTGAACTGCACAAATAAGTAAACGAGTTCAAGCAACTAAAGCATAATACAGACAAAACCGAACTTAAATTGAAGCATCCACAAGACAGAATTAACTGATTTAGGAAAGCTTTCTCAAGTCCCAACAATATATGATTAAATGGAGAACTAATCGCATACTTTAATTGAGTTTCCCATTAGATTGGTGATTATTTGTCTGAATCTCCCAGGATCACCAATTAGCATCTCAGGAACTCGATCATAAACGTAAACTGCCAGCTGCTCTCATCCACAAATTGATTATGCAAAATAAATATATGTTAGACTCTCAGACGAATACCGCACAAAGATTGGAGAAGATGGAAAAGAGGGGAAAGAAGGGAGTGGAAGGAAGGTTATGAGCTAGAAAGATACAGGCATCTCACCTCGACTCCTTTGTCCTGAGCCTTCCCCGAAAATAGCGATAACACGTCGTCCAAGACTGCTCGTAGATCAAACTGCACTCCTTCTGGCTCTAGGTTACCAGATTCGATCTTAGCCTGATCCAAAACCTCGTTTATAAGTGTAACCAGAGCCTTTCCACTAGCTTGTGCAGTTCTGACATAATCTAGTTGTCTAACATCTAAATCCGTGACCATAAGCATATGCAACATTCCTGTTAAAAATACAACTCACTGTCATGGCTAAGTAAACTCTGTTCTCTAGTCTCTACTAATTATTTCATTTATTTTTCTGAGCATGCTAGACAATGTCTATATGTGTAATATTGAACTTCAGAGAAATAAATGGAAGCTTCAAGACTCACCCAGAACACCATTCATCGGGGTTCTAATCTCATGGGAAACAGTAGCAAGGAACTGCAAAAAACAGTCGCAGTTAATTAGAGGACCAAATGTTCGCAAAAGGTCTGAATGCATAGAGGATAAATATATATGTCATATACCTGAGATTTGGCCACATCAGCTGCCTCAGCCTGTTTTGTGAGCTCCATCATCTTATTGCAATCATCTTCCACCTTCGCAATCCGATTAACAGTTGCATGGAATATATGCCCAACAAGTAATGCAATCACAAGGATGCCAATTGAAGTAGTTATTGCTAACCATGGCCACGGTGGCTTTTGTTTAAACCTATAAGAACAAGAATAGTACATGGTTTATAAAGTGATTTACATTTGAAATTTTTTGACAAAGAAAAGGAAGAAAAAAGAATTTAGAACCTCTTATAGATTAAGCAACCCCCGTTTTATGGACACAGATAGAAGTGAAAATTATATAAAGGTGGGTATGCACTTGAAAAGGGACAATCTTTTGCTTTTAAAGCAAATAGCAGAATTTATATATATTTTTTGATCGGAAATAGCAGAATTTATATTGAACAGAAACAGGTTGAAAACGGACAGAACAGTAGAGGTCCATTTCAAAGAGAAGGTGAAACCAATATCAAAAGATGATCCAAGATTGATGGACTACCTGCAGTGCATCTCATGCTTTCTGAAAGGATCTCCGAAATTAAGGTAGCTGACAAGCTCCAACCCGTCATCTGATGCATTTGAGCCATACATACTGATAGGGTGAGACTGATTGGTCGTGTCCAACACATTAACGAGGATAGTTTGTTTACTTGCAAGCTGGTGTAGCAACTTCTCCACGAGTGACTCAACATCGAAGACTCCACCAAGATACCTGATTGAGAAATGATGGCCTTAAGATAACTTTTAAAAAACTAATGTGATCATCTTATCCAAACCATTAATTAGGGCATCACATCAGAGACCTTTTATAAAAAAATAGCTTGTTTCACTTTTTTCAGCATTGCACGTATTCTGATTGATGCATACGGTCAATTTTAGAGTTCTTAGGCCATCGGATTTCTTCTAACAACTTTTAACTGTTTTGTACATGTATGCATGTGCGTTTACAGAGATGGGAAGCCTAAGGCATTCAGCTTCCTACTAGTATCTTGTGAAATAAAGGGATCATCGGTTAAAAAATCCTACTTTTTGTTCATACTGAAAACATACCCATCAGTTGCTTGAACCCTTTCATTAGGAGTTGCATTCAAGGGAAGATCCCTGTTGTAGACTGCAAATGTCAAAATAACTCCAAGACAATTTGTTTTGAGCAACCTAAAAGGAGCTGTCAGCACCCCCTTTCCTGATTTGCTTGCACGCAGTACATTCTCGCGATCTTCCTGTTGATACATAAGAAATTAAAGATTCATAATTGACAACTATAAACGAGAATTCAAAATTCTTTATTCAACCAGTGCCAATGCTCTTGAGAGATTAAAATTACTTAATTAGGATCTCGGTGCAACTTTCAGTGCAATTTATCAGTATTGGGTATGTCTAAACGAACCTTTTAGAACAGTAAAGGCACTTACCTTTCCTGACAACAGATCCATAGAAATCACATGTGATATGATATCCTGTGCAAAGATAACAGGCACATATTCTTCCTGAACAGGTGATGGTTCCAAGAGATCGGGATTATAGTCGTCCTTATGAACTGGATTTTGTTCAAGTGTATCCATCCTCTTAATAGTCCAGCCTTGATGCTTCTCAAATTGTTCCCTTTCAGAGTGGGGCACCCTTACAGCATATGCCACGCCACTAGTGAGGGGCCTCTCAAAAGCAGTTCGCTCCGTGTACCTCGCAAAAGTTGTCTACACGTCCATGAAGTGAGTTCCTTTATTGACTAAAAAACAAGTAATCATATAGCCCACAACTAGAGGCACTTGAATCATTTCCTGTGTAATAAGCTAAAAACAACCGTGTTTAACAATCCGAAGCAAGAATGACTATCGCGTTGTCAAAATTCTTATTCAATCTAAAATTTGAAGTATCATTTTCAGTTGAATTTGTATAATTACAGGCAATCAAAAACATCGGGTTGGTGTCCGATTTAATACAGATCAAGTAAATTAAATTGCCAAACAAGGCTAATTCCATTCTAAATTAAGAGCAAAAAGATTAATCACTTTGAACCAAGCATGCGACAGAGTAAACCATGGCAATCAAGCACAAAAAATGCATTATCACTTTGAATCAAGCATGCGACAGTAAACTATGGAAATTAAGGACAAGAAACACAATATCTCATCTCAACTAGTTCTATTATCCTTACTAAAGGTTCCAAGAAGATGAAATAACTTGCCTGATCAATAGCAGAAGGATTTTTGCCATGTTGGAAAGTCGAGATCAAAATCGACATGGCCTGGATATGGTTCATGCTTACATTAAATTGATCCTGCAACATCCGAGCTCTCTCATCGCACATGCTAGCGAGTGTCTCCTTCCTCTTCTCGGTAGCTTGAGAGTTCATATAACAGAAGATCCAAATAGAAACCACAGTCCAACAAATCACCCATGAAAGAAGGAGCTTTCTCCACCAAGACTCGCTGACTCTCGTGGAACCAATGAACTGGTAGTAATGATGGTGGAGCTTCAAACCACAGGTTGATATTTTATCCCATACTTTGAACCACATCTCAGTACAACCACTGTCACCAACGAGACTAGCCTCGGTGCAACTAAATTGACAATTGATCAAACAGTTCATGGACATCATACAAGCTATCCAGCAACATAACATCCAAACAAGATAGAGCCACTGTAAAATCTATAGAAACACACCAGAAAATTTAGAACCTTGGGAATAAGAAGGAAGGTGAAAAAAGCTCAGTAAACTCCAAATGGACTACAAGACGGATAAAACCTGAAGGAGCTGTAGATAGTGAGGGCAGGAAAAGGAAAAAATAGGAAAGAAAAGATGCTATCTTATCTAGCACTAGAGGTTACTAATTCATAATGGCAAAATTGAAGAACCCAGATTAAGCAATATAAAGGACTCAATAACCACAATTAAAAAAATTAGGGTAAAGTACATATTTGGTACTTTATCTCATCCATTATCGTTTTCTCGGACATTTAACACGAATTTGATAAATTATAACTTTATTTAATAAAATTAAGGGTAAATTACAGGATTGATCATTTTAGTTTAAGTTTTATATATTTTTCTCACTAAATTTAAAATACATAATATTTAATCATTTTCATTTTTATTTAATAAAGATGTAATCATTAAGGGTTAACTGCTATTAGATTTTTAACCGATTGTTGATATGATATAGTGAATATATAAAATTAGAAAGAGTAAACTTCACAAATAATCATTAATATTTGAGGAAATTTTCATTTTTTTTCTATTGAAATTTCAAAAATAAGAAATTGATCGAAACTATTTTACTGTATATGTCCAAAAATAATTGATTTGAATCGATACGAAATTCCACCTACACAAAACCATTGTCAATTGTAGTCATTAATGACAATTTGCAGTGTTCGGTACGTTTGAAGTAACTTTCATCATCGGTTCCCCCCAAACCTCCACCCGAGAGGATGACATTCCCTTTGCCTGTCATAGCCTCAAATAGCAATCGTTGTAATCGGAGAGAGCAAACCAGAGGCTTTGCATTTGGCGATCGATGATATTGGACCTGACTGCCCATCGCTCCCTGCACGGTTAGTCCAACCAACAAAAGGAAAGTTGGTATGGTTTTTGGACAAACCAACTACATCAAAACTGGATGGTCTTCAATTTTCCGAGCAGGGTCTAGCTTCTTTTCTTGACAAACTGTACGGTTGTGTGTTGAGGAGGATTTCGCAACCCTTGATCCTCGTCCTCAATTCGGTTATGTTTCTTTTATCTTTTGCTCTGGTTTTCTTCGAGGTGGGAAGTTTGGAATCCATTTTGTAAAGGAAGGGGAAAAATAATAAAAGTTGGGGTCTTGATGCAACAGATTCGGACATGGATAATCGAAATGTGATCATTTTCATTTTTGCAGGGATCAAAGTTCCATATATCTGTTCTAAAGCAGGATGGTAAATACAAATCAATACTTCAAATGAAAAGTGCTCTCTGATTACATTTCTTAGAGATGACATTCAAGCAAAAGCTGTAGCTTTAAGTTCCTATTGCTGGAGAGAGATAGAGTATGTGTTCAGTGGGAGATCTCTTCAGTTTAAGGAGTGTAGTACAATAATATGTTCGTAACAAAAGCATTTTTGTCTTTGTTGGCAACAATTGGCAATGCTCCGACTGCTTTATTTTGTGTCGATAGGGTTTCGTATTGGTTCATATTATTCTCGGACATATATTGCAAAATGGTCTTAACTAATTTGTAACTTTTAAAACTTCAGTATAAAAAATGAAATTTATTCAAATATTAGTGACTATTTGTATAGTTTAAATTTTTTTAATTTTATATATTTAGTGTGTCACGTCAATAATCCATTAAAAGTCTAACGGAAATTAACATAAAAACGAAAGTAATCAAATATTATATTTTTGAATTCAATGAAGAAAAGTGTACAAAACTTAAACAAAAATTATCAATCATGTAGTTTAAATATCTAACTTAACAAGAGAATAACAATATAATTATTTTTTTGTATATTTATAAATAATTATTATAATATCACTTATGTATTTTTAATTAATTTTTTTATTTTATCTAATAAAATAATATATATGTGTGTGAGTGTGTTTTAAGTAAGATTGAACGAAGATTTTCTCTTAAAAATTAGGTCGAATTATGAATCATATAATTTTTTTAAACTCGAATAAGATCAGATGACAAGAGAAAGGATATCATACTCGAATTGATCTAGAGTACCAAAAATATGACCTGATCTATAATCATTCATAACACTTTTTGATTTGTCATAACATACTAATAATTTTAATCTCAAAATTTATATATTTTATTAAATTGATTTAAGTTATAAATTATCTAGAAAATCAAATTTTAAAAAATTTATTAATAAATTAAAGGCAATATGTATTAAACATGTAATATGGAAAGATCTGCTTAATATATATGAATTGTATATGGGTAAACACCCAAGAATCATGTTGATTATAATAAAATTAAGAGGTATATGAATATATATTAATAATAAATAATCTTCCACATAACATATACTCACTCTCACTATGCAATAGAGATGGGTTTTTGACATGTAATCTTAGAAGGTGGTTTGAGGCTAGTAATAACTAAACTAAAATTAGGATCTAATGATTTCTAAGAGATTAATTCACTTTTGTAAAGTAAAGGGTATTGCTCGAAATTTTTTCTCTTGATTATAGGATATTGTTTTTGTTGAATCATCGATTATTAAAAATTATAAAGTAATCTTTCAATTATAGAGTGTTGTTTTATCGAGTCATCCGACAATTAAAAGTTATAAAATGATCACACAATTATTTATTACGTCCCAAATTTGTCATTTTCATTTAAAACTAATGGTGGTCTAAATTGGATATGAATATGTTGATTAAGATATGATAGTCGTTTGAGATTATAAGATCAGATTTTATCATATATTAATCAGCATGTTAATATCCAACTTATACGATCGTTAATTTTTTAAAGAAAAAAGATAAATTTAGAACACAATAAATAATCTAATGATCATTTTGTAATTTTTACTAGTCGATGGACTCAACAAAATAACACCCTATAATTATGAGTTATTTTATAACTTTTAATAATAAAGAGAATCAATAAAATAATATCTTATAATCGAATGTCATTTATGTAATTTACCCATTTATTTATAATTCGGAATGATAATACGGTGCCACATGAAATGCTTTAGTAGAATGTCTGTTAATAATGAAGAGATGAAGGGTAATGTCATAAGAAAGGTGTTGGCGACTACAGTGACAGACACAGTAATTAACTTACAAAAGCAGTGGCGAAAAGGAAGGCACTTCAATCAAGGCAATGTCATCCAGGGACTTGATTGATTACCCCATCACTGCCCATTTATTTATAATCAAGGTATTAACAATTTTTTTTAAAAAAGTTTTATTATATATAAATAAATGTTAATCTAATTAATATAGATTATACCGACTCAAATTCCGGAAAGACTTATGCTACACTCTATCGGCTCAGCTGATTGAACTGCACCAACCATCACCCAATCCCTCAATACAGTCTGCTCACGAGAGAATCTACTTGCAAACACAAAATTTCATTCTAAAGAATAAATTTATAAAATTAAAAAAATTACTTATAAAACTTTAATATGATAAAAATTATTTAAATTATATATATATATTTAAAAAAAATAAAAACGACAGCCTCCGCTAACCATCTCAATCAACTGCAAGTGACCGACAACATCCTTAAAACCCTGTATAACCGGATGTATTAGTTAAACCGTATCATGTTCAGCTTTCATGTGTAAATCATGGTTGACGATCAGTTTAACGTGTAAAAAGAACTACGCCTTGTAGACTGTATAAAAAAATATATAAAGTGCACGTATTTCCTATAATGAAACTCATCATGACAGGAGATGAACTTGGAATGTGCAGATAATGACGGCCAACAACACGTGGCACTCATCCGACACTGAAAAAAAGAAGTGCCTTTTTCTTTTTATCTCTCCTTTTCACACATGGTTGACAATCAGCACCATGGCTGGTGCAGAAAGCACTTGCAGCAGTTTGGTCATGGTAGTCGCGATATGCAGGCCAAGCAAATGGTAGTTTCAATCATTGTTGTTCCGGTAAAAGAAAACAAAAGGAAAGTGACACAAAGAAGAAGACATCAATCTCCCTATCAAAATTATTTCATGCAACAAGTGATCAAGTTCATTGGTGAGGATATTACAAAAGCTCCACTCTTTTTCTTTATAGAAATATTCGTATCAAATACATATTTTTTGGGTATAACTTTTTAAACATATATACGATATACATATTCATATTCGTATTCGACACATAACAAAATCCGAATAACATAGTTTGTAATTCTGAGAGCAATAGAATTGGACAGGAGTGGAGATATCTTTATGCACGTTCACCCTACTTTTGCATGTTTGCTAAACATAATTTAGCATGCATAATTCTTTAGGGACATATCTAATAAATATTAAGTATATATATGTTTGTGTGTGTGAATATATCAAATATACAAAAGATAGACAAAATATTTAAGAGTTAAAAGAGTAATTTTAAAAGGCGAGAAAGAAAGAACGAGTAATGCATTTACCAAAATTGTCCTGATTCATGACTCAGTAATCGGATTTTAGCATCTTATTTGTAAGTGCAAACGTGCTTGCCTGATGGGGTCATGAGCTATACTAGCAAACATTGTGTGCAGCACCCATTTCCTAATCCAATCTAACATTCTCATCATTGACCACCGTAGTATACCTACGGATAAAGTTAACTAGACCAGCTCACCTCAAATAATGAGGCTACTCAATGATGCATCGTACGTAATATCTGACAAATTCAAATTATTGAAGGGGAAAAATGATACATGCCGGTTCCAGGTGCTCATGTTTGTAAAAAAGAATGGGAGTCATCAACTTTATCTTAAACGTCTCCATTTCTTGTCAAATGCAGTTTTTCATAAGATACTCATACAGGGCTTAGAATTACAAGAGGAAATATATATATATAAACTGTAAAAAAATTGAAAAAATAGAGTATCTAATTCAAGTATCCAAACATAGAGCATTGCGCATTAACATGCTAAAAGACAAATGCTTCTTAAATGAAAATCTCAATAGATATAATCAAAGAAGGAATTATATCAGCAATTTAAATGATGAAAACTTCAATTTGAAGAATGAAGAAACTAAATTACAAAGCTTCAATGGGATGAGTTAAAAGCTTTTAACTCGTACAAAGAGATAATTGCTTCATGCTAGATGGATGACATATGATAAAGTGATCCCAGGTTTTCAATTGCATACATATGCAATTCATGAGCTGAATTGAGCTTCTAGAGAAAGCTATCAAGACATGTATTCACCACTATCAAATTATGACAACATGTACCCAACCTCCTTTTCCTTTGGATATGCTCCAACTCTTCATTTCTTTAAAATATTTGTATTCGACATTTATATTCAACATCTATTGTAATTTTTGTATTAAAATATGATCTTTCAAAAACTCGACAATTATAATATATATATATATATATATATCATCATATATTTTCATATCTGACACTTAATAATCGAGTTCAAACAATATAGAAAGTTTCTTAACCTCAAAGCAGCAACACATAATGCAATGATAGAGGGTCCTAGCCCATATCATTTCATTTATCTATAACAATCAACATCTTTAGTGTTCTTCCAGTAAATCAAACATCAATTGCCAACCCTCCCAATCAAAAGCTCCAATTATAAGACCCTTAATAAAAAAAAATTATAAGACCCAACCGACCTTTTTATCACGAAGAAAAGTAATAATGATTGAAATGTCATCAACTATGAAGAAAAGCACTCAAGATCGACAACAAATTATGTATTTCGCTAATTTGAAGTTACTCCTTCCCCAGACTTATTATTAAGGCAATGAAAAAAAAGAACACTAAATTGAACTCCAAAACGATGAAACTCACACCATAAAATGGGCTACTTAAAATACATCAACAAAATCTAAAAATACGAAAGAATAAAACCAGGTGGGTGTTTTAACAATGAGCATAAGAAGCAACGTATTGTTTTAAAAATTCAAATCTAAAAGCCGAAAAATAATACCCATTGTAAAAGGAGACGGAAATGGACAAAGAGAGAGGAGACGGTTATTCACCTGAAGAACGGTGGCTTCCATTAATCTTGAGCTTGATAGACTAACACGACTCGCTATTCGGGCAGTTCATTTGAAGATCAGAGAAGATATTCATTATCATTGTGTCGGCTCCTGAGGCCCAAGAATTTTGGGTTTGATCGGCTTTAGGAACATGATTTTTCTACGGGCTTTATCGACAAAAGTGGAAGACCAAACATTAACGAAAGATCGCTCGCTCACTCGATCAATCCATTTACTTAACTACGTCAAAGTATAAAACTTCGATGTGGAAAAAGAAATAGAATTTGATAGAATGTAGAAGAAATACAATTTGGATGAGTTTTATGGTCAATTAAGAAAAATATGGATGGATTTTATATGATTTAGTTAACGAAGAAAATGGAGGAAAGAAGAAATGAATGAGTTTTATGCGTTTTCGTTTAATGTATAAAATTAGTTCAACGCCCCGATGATCAAATCGACAGAATCCTCTTGAACATTATCGAATTTTTTAACAGAAATTAATATATAAATCTTTATTTAATGAAAATATATTATATTATTTTGAATAATTAATTTATTAATAATTTATAAAAACATAATTAAACTTTATAAATATACATTTTTCATTTTTTTCTATCAAGAAAAAACTCTAAATATAACTAAAATAATAAGAAGCAACCACTAATTTACAATACCGACAAATCGTTATATAAGGATAAAGTAAGTGATTAAAATATTATTGTTTTTAATTTGTTGATCAAAAGTAAACACTTATGAAATGAAAGTGACTATTATGGAATTTTACCCATTTATTATTTCTGGTATATAAAAGGCGGATGAATTCGTTTGTCATTTCCTTTTATGAATTTGGGAGATTTTTCGCGAGAAAACTAGAGAAGAAAATCTTGCTCGCTGGGGGAAATAATTAATATATCATCTGAAATTTTCTTACACTTTCTTTTCCTGCAATCTTCTCCGACTACCTGAACTCTTCGTCACCATGGTAATTTTTTGTTTTTCCTCTTCTTTTTCGAAACTGTAAATTTGTTTGATGATCATCGGCTATCGATTTTCACAATTCTCTTTTATGAATTCTTTTTTCCCGTTAATCTGCTTGTACCTGAAACGATCTGATCTATATATGTGTGTGCGCGCGCGCGTTTCGATTGTAGATCTCAATTTAGCTAATTGATATGAGTAATATTTTATATCTAGGCGTTCATACTTCATAATATGCGAATAATTTAGCTCCACGAACCTTTATTTAGCTTCTTTTTTAATGCAAATTTTAATCGCATTATATCCTGAAGTAGTAGTACCTTTCATCAATGTATCATCTATTTAGAACTCTTGACGTGATCCAACTGCATATGGTTTGAAATTAATGTTTGAATGCTCCTTTTTTTTATTTATTCATAATTCTCTTTCTTTTCAGAGTTCAAAAAAGATAACTCTCTAAATGAGATATGATTTTTTTTATCCAATGTGAATTGCGATGAACCTTGATTTGTTTCAATTATATCTATGATTTTGTTTAAAAATTATACATATGAAATTTTGGTTTTGATAAAAATACCAATAAGTTTAAATAGATATATGTGTATATTCAATAGTGATATGTCAAATTGAATCAAAACCAAAGTATCAAAATTTCCTATTAAATTACGCCTTGATTTAAAATTCATGTATAATTTGTGATTTATCTCAAAATTTAAAAACTACTGTTTTTCTGCTGTATCGAATGCTAAAATTATCACCAAAACACATTTATCCTTTCTATGATAGCAAACGAAATGCTTTAAACTTTTTAGGGAAAAAAGATTATCCATTTGCATGGTGTCCTTTTTTCTTATATGTGCAGACTACATCAAGGCGCCTTGCAGAGAGGAAGGTGGAGAAATTCCAGAAGAACATAACAAAGAGAGGAGCTGTGCCCGAAATGACCACAAAAAAAGGGAAGGACTATCCTGTGGGACCTGTACTGCTTGGGTTCATCGTGTTCGTCGTCATTGGATCATGTAAGATTATCGATAGCTAATCCTTTAATGATCATATTTCCCTTATTTGTCCCACGGTGACTTTTTAAAATATCAAATGCAAGGCTTGAGTTTTGCCATAATATGGTCAGAGTGTCATTGGTTTTGCAAATAGAATTTACATGGTGTACTGTGTCTATGCTTATGCCTTTTTATGTTTTTTTCCTCTAGTAAATAGTCTATATAGCAATTACATCCCCACCAGGTATATATATTTGACAGTGAAAACATTTTGCCTATCCTAGAAGATCTCTTAGTCTCCGATATGAGTAGATGTCGGACAGAGTTCCAAGGATCTTTGGAGGTTATATCTTCGTATATGTTGAACACGAGTGTACAATGCATTTACCTTGAAAAATGAAAAGTCGGGATAACATAAAATTTTACTGCAAATTTTCTTTTTTTCATTCTTCATAACAGCTCTCTTCCAGATTATCAGGACTGCAACCAGCGGAGGCTTTGCATAAGCCTGCATAAACCCGTTTTAGGAAATTGCAGAGGAAACTCTCTCTCCATGGTTTTTTCTTTTCAATTTGGTTATGTAGGAAACATTTGATACATTTAGAATTTGAATAAGACCTCACGTTCTTGTCTCTGTTATATTTTATATCTTATTTTTTATTTTAATATTTCACTTCTGAATAAGATCTGTTTAATATTGTCTTCAAAAAGTGTTATAAACTTTTTATTTTAAAATATATTTTTTCTTCTTCTTGCCTGGTCCGCTTATTCCATAACCCTACTCTTATTCTCCATCTTCTATATAACAAGAATAAGTCAAAATTTAAATCCATAATTTCTTCTTCTTTTCTTCATTTAATCAGATTATTGGGTAAGTGAAACAAAGGGAGAATGAACAGGGAAGATACTGTTAAAAATCGCATTCCCTAACCGATAGGAGATGGATTTTCCCTCTAGTCATCGCCGGAGCTATACTAACCTCGAGTTTCATAAAAGCAGCCGACTACTCTCTGCTATGCTCCGTCGCCATCTCCCGATCATCATCTCAAGCAGTTGCTGAAAACTCTGCCACGCAGATCCAACTCGAAGCCATCATCCACTACGCCACATCACGAATCGTGCCGCAGCAGAACTTCGGGGAGATCTCCGTTACGATAGACGTCCTCAAGAAGCGTTCTCCTTGTAATTTCCTCGTCTTCGGACTCGGATACGATTCCTTGATGTGGGCTTCGCTCAATCCGAATGGGAAAACTGTTTTGCCTCGAAGAGGATCCGAAATGAGGCCAGACGGTGCTCAAAGACGCGCCCAACCTCCACGCGCACCCTTTCAAGTACCGTACGCAGCTCATGGAAGCCGACCGTTTGCTCTCCCATTACCGTTCGGAGCCGAGCTGTTTCCCGTCGAAAGCTTACTTAAGCGGCAAGGACAAGTGTAAGCTTGCCTTGACGGGGTTTCCCGATGAGTTCTACGACACGGAGTGTGATTTAATAATGATCGATGCGCCGCGTGGGTATTTCCCTGAGGCGCCCGGTAGAATGGCAGCGATTTTCTCGGCGGCCGTCATGGCGAGGAACCGGAAAGGTCCAGGCGTGACGCACGTGTTGTTGCACGACGTTGATCGGAAGATAGAGAAGACTTTCGCCGAGGAGTTTTTGTGTAGAAAATACTTGGTGAAGAGCGTCGGTAGACTTTGGCATTTCGAGATTCCGTCCGCCGCTGACACGAGCAACCACGATGGCGCTCAGTTTTGCTAAATAATAGCATATTACTTTAAAATGAAAAGATGAATCTCCGTTGATGGAGTGGCATGTTCGTGTTTGACCCCTAATAGTCTGTTCCCTGCCTATAAACAAATGTTGGATCATTGACGTATATTAAACAAGGGCATATATTGGAACAAAATACATGCCATATATTGTGAATAAAAAGAAAATAAAAGAAAAATGAGAATAAAATACATGCCATATATTGTGGATGCCAAATGTTATAAACGTGACGTGAGTACCATTTATATTGGAAGAACATAATCGATTTTCCAAAATAGACCGGCCGTTTTCATTTATTTGAGCTGGAGGCTGTTATTTGTTTCACATCTTTCAGATTTCATTATTCAAAAAGACAAACGGGGGTTCTTCAGCACATGCCGAAATAGAAAACGTTTTGTATTCAATGGCGTTTTCCGCTCATAATAGTTGAGGGTTGATAATATGTTTTTTAAAGATGAATATGGAATTTTTATTGCCAAAACAAATCACTAACTGTACAAAACAGACAAACCTCTATACATTCATACCCCAGGCAGCACAGCCAGATCTGGTCAAACAACCCATCTTGCACGACTTTATACTAGCAAACTTCAAAACTATCATTTCCTTCCACCGACTCAAAAGCACATCCACTGACAACTGTCGGTCCTGAAATGATCCTCATCCATGACTGGGCGAAACAAATAGGCAAGAGCAGTCTTTCCCCTCGCATTGCAGCAAGCCCGACTTAGTTCATGATCCCAATCCATGGCTGGCCTCCTAACATTGCAAGCCAATAAAATACTTGGCCACACCTGCCTAGAGTAAACACATCCAAAGAACAAATGTTCTCGAGTTTCAAGCTCATTTAAACATAAAACACACATATCGTCAATGTTCAAACCGAACGAAATTAATCGACTCTTAGTAGGAAGCCTATCAACTATCACCATCTAAAAGAGAATCTAATTCTTCGGAATGTGGCCCGAGTGCCATACTAATATGTCCCAAACAACTCAAACACCTTGTGGTCGGATGCTCATCCAAATATCCGCCACTGACGTCGAAGAACCCAAAAGAGTATCCCCCAATACAGCGGCCTTGCTACGAAGTTGCAGCAAGCAACTCCACACCCAGCCACCATCCGGAGTGCCTCTAACTTGACAAAAAGACGTTCCCTTTAGCACATTTTGGTGAATCCAAGCGATCCAGATCGATCCCTCGTTAAGCAAGAGCCTCCTAATCAAATAAATCAAACAAACTTGGTTCCAACTCCTTATGTCTTTGAGACCCAAACCACCTTCCCTTTAGGTCGGCAAATCATCGACCAACTCACTGTAGCACCCTTTATTGGCTTATCCTCACCCTTCCAAAAGAGTCGCATACAAAACTGATTAATTCTATCAAGGACCGCACATGGAAAAACCTGTTGCTTGCTACAGTAAGCCTGAATACCAAATATAACAGACTTCCCGCATATAACAATTGTCCAGCCTTCCAGCTTTGCAAACACTTAGTGATCTTATCAATAAGAGGGCTACAATCACTAACTGAAAGTCTCCTAGAGACAAGAAGGATGCCAAGATAACGAACCGAAAGCGTGCCATGCTTAATGCCCGTAGCGTTGCAAATAGCATCCAACACACCGATTCAATGTCAGAAGAGAAAATTTTAGATTTCTTGGAATTAAGTCTCAAACCTGAAAACTTATAATACAACAACAAGACTCTCCAAATGCCATAGACCAAAACCAAGTCCCCCTAGAGAAAACTAACAAATCGTTCGCAAAACGAAGATTCGTAATCCGGAGCCTATGACATTTTGGGTGAAAACGAAAGATCCCGTGATCTGCAGCTCGGTCTAATAATCAAGATAGCACATTCATCGAAATAACAAAAAGATAGGGAGAAAGAGGATCACCCTGCCTCACCCCTTTCGCTTCTCTATAGAACTCCACTAAGCCACTGTTTAAAACAATGGAGAAGCTTAGAGAATCCAACCTATCATTACCCCGGAAAGCCAACACCCTCAAAACAAAGTCCCAATCGAGAGAGTCAAACACCTTTGTAAGTCAATCTTGATAGAACATCTCGACGAAAGAGAAGGCCGAGCTCCCCGGCCATAAGGGTGTTATCAACAATACTTCTACTTGGAATGAAGGCACTCTGACTAAAAGACACAGAAGTAGGCAGGACACTCTTCATCCTATTGACAATGATGCGCGAAACACAAATGTAAACAACATTGCAGCAAGAAATAGGCGGGAAGTCCTTTGTATGACAAGGATTAGGCACCTTAGGCACAAGAACCACCATAGTCGCATTAAAGGTCGGGAGAAGCTTAGAATGCTCAAAGAAAAATAGAACAGCGTCAATAATTATATGTTTTTTATATTTTTAAATTGAGTTTTTAATATTTTTATATGATCTAATCATTTTATTCTTAAAGTGATTAATCTTTGAATTAATGTTAAAAATCAGATTAATATTTTATTTTTATTTAATAAAATTAAAAGTTATTGTTAATTAAACATAAAATTAAATAAATTTGAAATTAGATATTAAAATTTTGTTAAATTTATTTCAAAAAATATAAATAATTAAAAAGGGAAAAGATCCAACGTCTAGTGCCATAATATAAATATATTACTATTACATAACATAAATATTAAATTTATTGATACCTGGAGACGTACGCAAACTTTACTTTCAATGGTAAAAAAGAGATCGGTGGAAAGAATAATCTTTTTGGACACATAACGTTAACAAAAAATATTTTTTTTCATATAATATCTTAATTCTTTAGGTGATTTTTTATTAGAAAATAATGACTCCTGATATCTTATATGAAAAAAATATTTTTTTCTCAAAACATTATCTAACCAATTTTATCATATATAGATTTATAGATTTAAAATTAACTATTATAAATAAAAACTGAAAATTAAAATGTATTTACATATAATTCATATATAATAGAAAATAAATTAAGAATAAAAAATTATATATATAACCCTAATTTTGTATGACTGAAAGAAGAGAAGAGAAGAGAAATAAGCAACGTCACCCAGTCCGCAAGGCCCAAAGCATAGCCGTCGACACGGTCAAAATAAAAACAAAAGTTAAATAAAATAAAATAAAATCAATTTCGGCTACTCAGTACCGTCAAAGCTCAGAAATAAATACGTGTACAATTCCTTCACCATTTCTTTCATATGTACTCTCTCCAACAACTCAAAGATCTCCCTCTCATCTTTCTCTTATTTTTCTGAATTTTTCTCTCCAATTCCATCTATGGGTCCGATCGTTTTGACTCAGATGGCAACCGGTTTGGGCGTGTTGGCCGGAGCCGTGATTGTCAAATCGGTTATGGACCAGAAACCCATGGCCGGACCGTTTCAGAGATGCGCCACTTGCAACGGCACGGGACTCGTTTCGTGTATTTGTTCTCGCTGGTCGGATGGCGATGTCGGCTGTAGGACTTGCTCGGGATCGGGTCGAAGGGCTTGCAGCAGTTGCGGTGGATCAGGTACGGGCCGCCCTATTCCGGCCCAATTATCTGTCCGTCAACCGACGAACCGAAGCTCCTGATATCGAGATTCCGGCTCTCCTTACTATAATTTTACATAATTTTCTTTTTAGAAATTTAATTATGTCATATAATGGTGATGGGAATGTTGTGAACTCATAATCTTGTATTAAAATGACTTCTTATAACAGTTTACAAAGTAAAACTTTAGCTTACGTGCATCATTTCCTTCCTGCAAATTAACAGGTAATTGTTCAACTTTCAATCTGCCTATATCCATCGAATGAAATACGAATAACTCCTCGTCTTCTCTTTGAAATAAATAACTTTTTGGTCTTATCTGTACTTGAAATCATGCACCAAACAACTGCCTATATCCACTCGATTCGACCGGATTGTTTTCTTTTAATGAATTCGGGTTGGGTTAATTTCTTTCCAGGGGAAGATAAGGTTAAACTTTAGTTTAGAGTAAAAAATTTATGATTTAATATAATATTATAAATATCGTCATACATATATATATATATAAATAAATATAAAAAATATCATATTTCTTATATATAAAAATTCTCCATCATTTAATATTTAAAGTTTATATATATTATATATCTTTTAGCATTAAGTATTTATACACTCCTACATGTATAATATTCGACTGCAAAAATCATAAAGATCGTTTGGTTTGTAATTATTTTTTATTTTGGGTAAATTTTATTTTAGTGTCTATTTTGGTAGCATTGCAAAATTGGACAAGAATAGGAAACGTATTGGTCCAACAGAGATTTAGAGATATTTTAATATTTAATAATCTAATCATTAGGTTAATACATTTTTTAGTCATTTATAGTTAATACCAAAGGAGACATCTGGCATTGACTATTAATAAGGAATCCGAGTCATTTGTTCACGTAATAATATTTTGTTGGTTGAGTCATCTGAGTCATTTGTTCAAGTAATAATATTTTGATGGTTGAGTCAACGGATTAAGCTTTGTATTTTGTATTGCAACATAACAAGGCATGGAGGGCGGCGCAGACCAACGACTTGCTTTAAGTAATGCGAATAATGATTAATGCATCAATCATTCCCAAATATGTTGAATTACAATATTATAATCGTTATGTTCAAAATCGTGATGATTTTTTGATCAAGTAAAGAGTGAAGGAAAGCATGTGGAAAGGAGCTTTTGTGTTTCTGAGTTGTGACCGAGTCAAGACAGAGTCCAAGTCCATATGACCATAAATGAAGGAAGTTTCTTCCCTAGTTTTTTCGTGACTCAGTAAGCCGGTCAGGTTGACCAAATTCTCACCACGTTTTTGAAACAGAGCCCACCCGGTACCCTACATTGGTGCCGGTGGAGGAGGAGTGCTTCCCGGGACCAAAGAGATCGACCACCGGACGCACTAGAATCGTTCGTCATTCGTCCGGTTTCGTGTACTTCCATACTGACCTAAGTTACCCCTGAGGAAGGAAGCCTGTTCCCCCCCCCCCCACTGATCCACCCTTCTGGGAACTGTAAACATTGTCTTAACACATCATAACCTGATCGACTGAGCTATTTTCTTGGTGTGCTTGTTCAATTAAAATATCCGGAAGAAAATATATTACAAGTTCCAACTCAAGAATTTCAGAATATTAGTGCGTTGAATTGTTAATAAACGTACCCTGCTTTATTGGTCATGCCCCAATCTCTTGAACCGAAAGAGTCCGTATTATACGCCTTAAAGCAGAAGGATAAATAACAAATTTTATCATTCTATTTTATTTTCACTCTTATTTTTGCCACTAAAGCTTATAAGTTTTCAATTTACTCATCAAACTTCTAATTTACTTTCATTTTAATCACGAAAGTTTAAAATTTATTAATCTACTCATCAAACTTTCGAGTTACTCTTTTTTGGTCACTTGGGTAGTTGGGTGTTAAATCATAAAGGAAACATGAAAGTCAAGTGTGGCGATGCAACCTACTTTTAATTGACATGGAATTTACGTGTCAGCCATGTCAGTTTTCCTTTTTTATCCTTTTTCTCCAAAGATAATTTTTTTTACAATTCTATCCCTGTGTGATGCCAGCACTGAAGTTACATTATTCTAACCACTTAAGATATTTATGAAATCGTCTCATTATCTCCTATTGTTTTATCAGTTTAGATTTTACCGAATTCACTTTAAAACGCATAAAAACCCAATCCTAAAACTAAAACTCATGAAACCCTAAATTACTCTTATATATAATGTCTATAATTCAATCAACAAATAAACAATATATACAACTCGCTTTTTCTTTCTCTATCTCCTCACCATTGGGATCTTGGACAAGATGTTTTGTCATCGAGAAATCTAAAGGATTTTCAAACTAAGGGGTTTTTTCAGCAACAAAAAATTGGCGTCATTTTATCATTTTTAAAAGAAAAATGTCTAGTCATAATGTAATCAAATGTTTATAGTGAAGTGATCAAAACAGAAATAAATAAAAAACAAATGATTAAATTGAAAAATTTTATACTTTTGTGATTAAGATAAGAGCAAGAAGAAAGTTGATTGATAAAAAAATTGTAATTTACCCAAAGCAGAAATATCAGCATGCCACCAGTGCACCAACTTGGTTCTTATCTAATATCTTTACATCTTTAGCCAAAATCAAAACCCTCCAATTGAAATGCAGATAAAGCTAAGGCCCACAACCACATAATCTGCATCTCCTTCAAGCAATGCCTCCCCATACTATTCCTCTTTCGTCCCACAAAATCCCTCAAATTTGAACCCCACAAGGTTAAAAGCACTGACGTTTGGTAGGCTTACCAGCATACAAGTGGCCAGCGTTTTTCCCCTCTGGTCGACGAGCAGGTTTTCACATGGGATGGCTGACCCCACAACATTATGTTCGACGTGTAAATACATATTTTTAAGGAAGAAAACGTGATTATTCAGCAATAATAATAACCCAAAATGTAATTGCTAATTTGTTTTCAGATCTACCAACACCACCAAAGCATACTCAAATATAGTATTAAATTGTGGTTACAACGCAATAACGAAACAATTGTATTTAATATTTTTAAGGTTTCGCGATAACGCAACTGCATCTGCATTTAATACTATGAACTCCCATTCTAAAAGGAGCATGGCTTAGTTCCATGCCCCCTCTTTTTACTTAAAGGTTGAACGCAACCATGTGCTGGCTGTTATCGCTTAGAGACACGACGGGAAGGAGCTAGGATAAAAAAGCCATGCCGCCTCTCTTCTTTTCTTGACGGTCTCTGTAATAAAATTTTAAAAAATAAATATAGAATAAAAAAGCAGCTAGGAATACGATGGGAAGGAGCATTGAGCAGTCATGGAGAAGAAAAGTTGATTCAGAGAAACTACATGAAACAGTGGAGAGAGTTGGCAGTGAGGCGTGTGAGGTGGCGTGTGAAAGTCAATCTATTTGTGAATTCAGATGATGCAATAATTATAATAAAGAAGACCGGTCAAACATCTGGTCCGACCTCTGTCACGTGTTTCCATGAACCCTCCCCATGTCTGGTTACATCACACGGCTCTTGCAGACGTGTGTTTGTTACATCATTACGTGTGCTTGGAATACTATGCCGAACAGATATGATAAAAAAAGGTCAAATACGCATATTCAACCGATTCGAATAAAAATTAAAGTGAAATTAACAACAACAAAAATTAAAACCTTTATAACACACGTAAATGAAATTTAAAAGTTTTTATTAATATAATAATGTAAAATGATGTTTGTAATATTATTGTTGTTTAAATGTGTTTATAATTAATACCATTCGTTGTTTTAAAGAATCTGGTGTGAATTTAAATGTTGGTTGGTTAAAGAACCGTGGTGGATATTGTCTTCATATCTCCTAGTAAATGGAAACGAAGCGAATTTAGCTTGAAACATACTCAACCAGAAGTCCACGTGGGTAAGAGCCCCATCACGTGGTTGCGCGCGCATGCATGCAAAAGAATCACCCCTTCTTTTAGGGTTTTGTTTCATTTTCATGGTGCACATGGCAGCATAATTACTGCCATGAATTTCCACCAGACGCTACCGATGGAAGTTCATAGAAGAACATTTACTAACAAATGACAAAAAACGTTCGTTAGTTGCAGCTGATCTTATCAGCCTCTTCAATGGATAAAGCTCCCACCCAGGCCGGTCCTGATATTTTAAGGGTCTTAGGTAAAATAAAAAATAAGGGCCCCTAAAAAAATAACTTGGGCCCCTAATGTATAGTAGAGCATGGGTGAAGTTTTGATCTGTTCAATTATAGTGTTTCACGTGGGAAAAACATGGTCAAAAATGGGTTTTGAATAAAAAAATTATATGGGTAGTTTAATATTAACTCTCCACATAGAGAATGTCTAGAACTGTCGGTATAAGGTCTGAGATATATATTTTGAGGTAATATTAAACTTTAAAACAATTTAAAAATGGGCTCCCAACAAACATGGGTCCTAGGCGGTCGAACCCCTCGCCTACTCTCAGGGCCGGGCCTGCTCCCACCGTTTCTCAACTACTCCTCGAGGATTTCATTTAGGCCAGCGACATGAAAAATAAAATAAAAACATGAAACCAAACAACATATGATACTCAAAAATACAAAACATTTCATTTTTATAATACTTGCATATAGTGTATGCGATTTAATTTCAAATAAAAATAAAATTATATTTTTAATTAATAATTTAATTTTCAACATGAAAAGTAGATATACTGTACATGTCCACTAAAATAAGTGGTGTGAACATTTGTTGTTCTAACTGAGCAGATAAGTTTATTATAATCGTGGAACCACTAACCCGAGTTTTATACTTAACGAGTAGCCGAATTTCCACACCCGCAAACAAAGAGCGTGAGAATCAATCCCCAAACAATAGCCCAAAATGGTCTGCGGTGTTCACGCGCCGGAACCACGTTGATTCTCATATAAATAATCCTTTCAGCAAAACTGAATAACAGAAAAATAACCATAGTTTTTTTTACTACAACAAATTTAACTGCTTTCAAAACAAACCCACAACTCCATAACCATATTTTTTACCTGAACCAAACAATTAGTAGTAAAAAAAACAACAAATGAGACGTCTTTTTTACCTTTCTTCAAGCTCATATAAAAGCCAAACGGACAAACCAAGGAATTAAGTAAAAAAAAAAGTGCTCAGCCTCAGTGTCCTTGATATTCCCAGTAAAATCATTAAAACCGACGACGAGATTAAATATAGGGTCCAGTCGACTGCATTTGACCGAATCACAGCAGAAACTGTTCATAAAATATTTATTTTCAAATTTAATTTTAAATATTATATCTCATTTCGGTTTTGTCGTTGTTCTTGTTTGTTTATGCTCCTTTTGTTATATATATAAGGGTCTCAGTTCCCCCCCCCCCCATTTTCTCTCGTTTATCTATCGAGTTTTTGAGCCACTGAGATTCGAGATAAAGGGATAGAGAGAGAAATGAGAACGAGGAGTGGGGTTTGTTACCCTAGAGCCGATGTCTGTGTGGAAATGAGAACAGTTGTTAAGACCAGGGATTTAGCCGGTGATTCTATGGGTTGCCGGAAACGGCGAAGGTTATCCTCGGAGATTGCCGGAAAGAGAGATTTGTTCGATGTTTTGCCAGATGATATCGTCGTTTCTATATTCTCTAAACTCGGCTCCACCGCCCGTTGCCCTTCCGATTTCATTAACGTTTTGAATACGTACGTAGACGTTCATGGCCTTTTTGGTTCTCTCAAGTTTTTTTTTTGGGTGTTTCTAATTTTTTTATTTGGCGAAAACAGATGCAAGAGATTTAATAGTCTAGCACTCAATTCTGTGGTGTTATCTAAGGCATCACCGGAAATATTTGCCGTTGAAGCCAGAAACTGGTCTGAGTCAGCTCACAGGTTCTTGAAGACTTGCGCCGATGTCGGAAATGTTGAAGCTTGTTACACGCTCGGAATGGTGTGTTGACTCGGGTTCTCAGAATACTATTAATTGCTAATTAAGTTAGAACATTCCGTAACGAGTTTGCTGTTTTAATGTTTTGTTTTTAGATTCGGTTCTACTGTTTACAAAATCGAGGGAGTGGAGCCTCTCTTATGGCTAAAGCGGCAATTAATTCTCACGCGCCGGCGCTGTACTCCTTAGCTGTGATTCAGTTTAACGGCAGCGGCGGTACTAAAGACGATAAGGACCTTAGAGCCGGTGTGGCTTTGTGCTCCCGGGCTGCTTTTCTCGGCCACATCGACGCCCTACGTGAGCTCGGCCACTGTCTGCAGGATGGGTATGGCGTCCAGCAAAACATCGCCGAGGGACGTCGGTTTCTCGTCCAAGCCAACGCCCGTGAGCTAGCTGCTGTTTTATCATCGGCAGAGGCTTCGAACTTAAACACGCACTCTTGGCTCACGTGGAACCCGTACCCAATCCCGCAAGCCAGCCACCGACAGCCGGCCTTGCCGGGATGCCCATTGCTGAGTGATTTCGGATGCAATGTGCCGGTGCCGAAGGCGCATACGGCTAGCAGGTTTTTAGCGGAGTGGTTCGACGCTCGAGGCGGGATGCCCCGTGCGGGTTTGAGGCTATGCTCGCACGTCAGTTGTGGGAGGCCGGAGACAAGGAAGCACGAGTTTCGTCGGTGTTCGGTTTGCGGGGCTGTGAATTACTGCTCACGCGCTTGTCAGGCTCTTGATTGGAAGCTCCGCCACAAAGCCGAGTGTGCGCCGGTAGAACGGTGGCTCGTTGAAGAAGCTGATGGTGGCGACGGTAACGATGCTATCGACGGAAATGATGACGTCATTGCCGGAAGTTAAAAACGGAATTTATTGTTTCAATACCGTAAAATACGAAGAACAAAAAACAATTCCTGATGGTCGTTGGAAGTTGAAACGACGGAGTTTTCTTTCCCTTAATTAGGCTGTAGGTTAGAGTTGAGTTTAAACCGTCCGATATTAAATCTCAATTTAATTTTGAGATTCGAAATTGGAGGTTTTTATTTTATTGTATTGTATTATAGAGTAAAATTTGGTCGGAAAAAATTCAATATTTGATCCTTTCTGGGAGTTTAATTTCATTTTCTTTTATACTTATTTTTGAGTAAAATATTATTAAATTATATTTAATTAATTGTTCTGATTATTATATTTTTAAAAATTATAAAATAATATTTAAATTATTATAAAATAATCATTAATTTTTATTAAATTATAATAAAGTTATTTTAAATATAGTTAATTATAATATAATAAATATTACATCTATTAATTTTTTATTTTATTTTTTTTATAATATTATAACTATCATTTTAAATAAATTTAATAACTATTTTATGATCATAATATGTTTTATCTTATTTTATATTATAGTTTTAGCTTTCGATGCGGGTTTGGAAATTGCATAGTTTTGAAGGCTGGTTCCTTTAAATCAAATGGTCGCATACTTACCTTGAAAATTGTTAATTTTAACTTCAGACACATATAATCATGTGTTTTGATTATCAAAGTCTGTCCACACTCTTAAATGGGGTATTTTTTAAACATTGTTTCTAAAAAAACATTATCACACTTATTTAAAGTTTAAATAACAAATATATACTTTCAAAAATATCAATCGAATTATAATGAACAAATTTAACTGAAAAGAAAAAAAAATATTATATTTATGAAGATTGACTTTTAAATATTTTTTTATCTCTTAAAATCTTTTATTAGCTTACATTTTTTTAAAATTTAATTTTCTAACTAAATGGGTTACGTGATGTGTCAAAACAAAATTCAAAGTACCTGATTATCGGACCTACATAACTTATTAATTTACAAATAATTATAATGATCTTACGACTAACATATATTAAAAATCTATATAAATGTTCCAATTGAGATTGAAAAAAGAATAAATTATCTGTAATTGATCAATTCTCTTCCTCGTGATAATTCATTCTTTTTCCTTACTAATCGTTTTTAAAATTATCATGTATTTTAATTTTTTATTAAAAATATGTTTTCACCCTCTTGAAATTTTATAAGTTCCTCCACTCCTGAAATTTTAAAAATTTGTCTCTTAACATAAAATTCAAGATCCATCCTTAAATACAATATTATTCAATTAATATTTTTAAAAGTAATATATGTAAATATATTTAAGTGTAGTTTAAGTCATGTAAAACCTTCTCAATGATGAGAATAGTTAAACCCTTAATATTTTTGTAAAGAAATCATAAATTTTATTCACAAAATAGAGAATATTTTAAATTGCAATAAAAATTTATAATCATAATCGTAAATTAAGTATATAATTAAGACAATTTCATATAATCATTGAAACAAACTAGCAATTTAAGATCACATAAGGACTATACAAGGAAATATTAAAATCTAACCAATAAAACTCGAATAAAGATAGATACAAACATATCTGATGCATCAACAAACGAACCACAAAATGTGATCAAACTACTGAAAGACTACCGACAAACTACAAATCAGACTCAAGTGACTTGAAAAGCTATCCACAAACGTATAACAGGTATCCAAATACAATTTGAGGGTCCAGAGCATAGAATATCAATAATATAACAAACATGTTTTATCTTGATTAGTCGTGACGATGTCAAATCAATCATTAGAAAAAGATAAGTGAAATTAACAATCAAATGATCGAAAAACGTATCAAAAGGCTGAAGAAAATATATCATAAAAGTAGAGGAAAACATGTCATACAGACAGACTTATTGAAAAAAAAATAAAGATGTAATATAAGAAAATAAAATGAAAATAAATAATACCGACAGTCGACAGCTAACATTAAAATTAATGTCGCCTCAAATCAACAAAGACAAAAAAAAAATGAACGGCTACCGATGAAAGAAAACTTTTTTATATGAATACTATTATAGTTAAACCCTTAATTTTATAGACGAGTAAACCTAATAAAAATAATTTCGATCACGAATAAACCTAATAAAAAAATTGATCCAAGATGATGTACATACGCTCTTAATATTAATCTTTCCAAAATTTAAACCTTGTTCGAATACATGAAGAAGAAGTCCACCGTCACTCCTTCCAACATCTTATTAACAGTTTTAAAAATATTAATTTTGTTAAATAATAAATGACACTTTTTAAAACAATTTTTTTTTTATAAAAATTTAGTCTTATTTCATTATTTTTACAAGTAAATGAACTAATTTGATTTGTTTAATAGTAGCGATATCTATTTAAAAGCTGATGGACTAATTTGAAAAAATCCCTATAATAGAGAGACCTATTATAGAGTTTCACCTAATGAACTGCTATATAACGTTTCTTGTTCAAAGAAGAATCTAAAGCCCTGGGCCTAAAATCAAAGAGTTTGGGTTGGATCCTTTCTTTTCTATTCATTTCCCTATAAAAATACCCAAATCCAAACCCTAAGTTGTAAAAAGTAGGCCACTTTAAAACCCTAAAGGACTGGAATCCATACGAAGTGTTAGGTCGTGCAGCCCCGTTGGCCGCTCTTTTACTTCAACTGCTTGGCGGACATCAAAACAACGGCACCTTAGGCAGCGGAAGCAGCAACCAAATCAGCAGCCATGGTACTGCTTTTGCTCCATTCGCTTCTACAATTCATATTTTAAAGTTTACTTTATTGTTCTTTATATTTATAACAATGAAATCGATTTTATTTGGAATCGTTTTTCAGGTGAAGTATTCGAAGGAGCCTGATAACCCCACCAAGTGTAAGAGCCCACTCTTTACTTTATTCTGGAGAATTTCCCTTTAAATTTTGAATCCCAGTATTTTGGTTTAACAACCGGTGATGTTTATTGTTGGTTTCATGCAGCCTGCAAAGCAAGGGGATCAGATCTTAGGGTTCATTTTAAGGTATTACATCAGAATCGGATATACTTTAATTTGCTACTTGATGTGAACTTCTGGGTATTGATTTGAGTGTTTATGAGATCCAGTAGATAATCGTGTGACACTGATAAATATAGATTAGCTTGGAACTATAGCTTTCTTGGAAGAACGTATACAGTTACTGTTATCATAGTTAAATTGAATGCTGCTGTGAAACTTATCGCGTAATTTTTGTAAAATGTTCATTTCTTATTGAGGGAGAATATTGGATTGATGTCGTTTTTTGCTATACTTATTTTGTCTCGTTATTTTGCGTTTTAAACCTGAAGTAAAACAAAAGTTCTTGTTGCCTTTTGTGAATGAGATTCTTATGAACTTCAGGGAAATTTGCTTGCATTGTTATTGGGTGAACCTCTAGACTTTCTTGGTGAATGAATGATTGAAGGTTCAGTAAATGATGCCAAATCTTCCAATTGTTTAGAAGGAACTTGTTTTCGGATTAGTTATGACATGGGAATGGGTTCTTATGGTATCGGTTTCATTCCATGTTACCCATCTTGTGCTATCCTCGCTTGCTTGTGGTAACTAATGAGTCTTATTTGGTGTTGCTGTTTCTATAGAACACGAGGGAGACGGCTTTTGCTATAAGAAAGTTGCCTTTGGTTAAGGCCAAGAGGTATTTGGAGGATGTTATGGCCCACAAGCAGGCCATACCTTTCCGACGCTTTTGTCGTGGTGTCGGACGTACAGCTCAGGCAAAGAACAGGCATTCCAATGGACAAGGTCGTTGGCCTGTAAAATCTGCCAAATTCATCCTTGATTTGCTGAAGAACGCTGAGAGCAATGCTGAGGTTAAGGGTTTGGATGTCGATGCACTCTATATTTCTCATATCCAAGTAAACCAGGCTCAGAAACAGAGGCGTAGAACCTACCGTGCTCATGGAAGAATCAACCGTACGTATTTGAACCATGCACTTAATTGTTGCCTAGAATCCATTTTGTTTTCTCATATTAATATGTTCTTTTTGCCAGCCTACACGTCTTCTCCTTGTCACATTGAGTTGATTTTGTCTGAGAAGGAAGAGCCTGTCAAGAAAGAGGTAATTTAACTAATCATACTCTTCTCAAGCGCAGTATATCCGACATCCACACGATAGTCCGAATAACGTAGATTAAATTTAAATTTCTTTAAAGAATGGAAACTCGACGTTTGTTTTGTTATTAAATTGATAAAATCTTTGTTTCCTTTCAGCCCGAAACTCAATTGGCAGCAAGCAAGTCCAAGAAGTCCAGTGGTGCATCCTCTTGAGTCTAAAAGTTGGCATATTTTAGCGAGTGAATGAGAGTTGATTTGATACATCTTTCTTTTGAGGATGCTTTTTGTATTTTTCAAAATAGAACGAGTTCTTATCTATATGTATTGGACGGTTTTGCTTATTTTAAAGCCATATTTAGTCTTAATTTTATCTCAGATTTTTCTTGGACATCTTTGTGTAATCTTTTAAATGATTTCTATTTGTCTTACCCTTTTCCATATCGCACTGTTAATGATCGAAAATTTATGCACATAAAATACTAAATAAATTAAAACGAAAAGATTTTCTTACGTTATAATGATTGATCAACTGAACAGTTTACCTTTTCTTCCCAAGGATGAAGCAAAGTTAAGTTCACGAATTTGTATTTGTAATTATAACAAAAATTTAAGATTATATCACACAATCAACTGCAAATTATAAAATGTTTATATATAAAATAATGTTGTGACACGGAAGTTGTTCTCAATTTGACGTTGGGGTAGCCTACTATCCTACCTCCCCTTATCCCATTATATATGGGAATAAGAGTCGGCTAATTTGATTTATTTTGTGACACGGCTTATATATATATATATATATATTTAACAGTTATATTTAATTAATTTAAGATTTTTTATCACCGAATTAATTAATTTAAGATGCAATTACGTTATTCATAATTTGATCCAACGGCTATCGCATCCATTCTTGTTTTGGATCGTGTCGTGGGGCCATGAATTATCGTCTGTTCCCAATATATTAAAAATCTGCAATTTCATTATTCATTTACACTTTCCTTTCTTCCCCGTTGCCGACTTTCACTTTCAGGCATCTTCTCGCTGTCTTGGCTTCCTCGCTTCACTATCCTGTAAGTTTCACTCTTTTTGCTCTCTCATTCGATAATAAAATTGAAATTATAGGGTTTATACTTTCTAACTGATTCACTCCTTTAAATTTTCTGATTTGGTTATGTTTTTGCTTGTGGATCGAAATTTTAAAATTACGAGGAAAATAAAGGAAACCTGTTATAGCCTTAATATTTTTTCCATCAGATTTTAATTCTTGATTTCCTATCTTCTGATTGTGAGTTTCAATGATTGCGTTGAACATATTTTATTCCTTTCAGTTTTCTCGATAACCAATCATCTTCTAGGGTTTTGGGTTATCGATCTTTTCTTCCAAATCACAATCAATGTTCTCTAGTGTTTACCAAAAATGGAACTTAGAGGAATCGATTTGGGTATCGGATTCATGTGTACAGAAAATTTTGCATATAATAGGTATAGATGCCTGCTGTAGTAGCAGAATCGGAAATAAAAGAAGTAAAAAGATTTATGTCATATGTCTCCATTGGAAAAGCTCAAAAAACTAAATCATTAGAAGTTTTACTGGGGGCTAGTCATAATGTTGGATGAGCTTCTAGTTATACTTTTTTTAAACTTTTTAGGGATTGTTTTTGTGGTTACCTAGAGTTTGGCTTATGTTGTTGAATTGAACTGTAGATGGATTGGCAAGGACAAAAGTTAGCGGAGCAGATAATGCAGATAATGTTGTTGGTGTCTGCCGTGATTTCATTCGTTGCAGGTTATGTGTTGGGATCGTTTCAGATGATGATGATCATATATGCGGGTGGCGTGACTCTCACCGCATTGATTACGGTTCCGAATTGGCCTTTCTTCAATCGCCACCCGCTCAATTGGTTGGATCCCATTGAAGCTGAGAAGCATCCCAAGCCACAGGTGGCTGGGAGTTCGAAAAAGAAAGGCAGCAAGAAGTAAGGTAGTTTAATTTGATCTTAGCACCATTTGAGTTTGCTAGGGGACTGAATCGATGTTTTCTTCTTTTATCTGCTTTGAAGGATACAATAATCTACTTGATTTCCCTGAATTTTTTTTGAACTATGAAACAATTAATGGAACAGTTATTATTCTTGAAGGATTCAATAACCGGGTATTATAGATGCTTATCATGGGGACAATGCTTTCAATTCAGCTTATTTTATTCACATCATGATTTGAATTCTTGACTTTAATTAAGGACTTAACATTCAATTGATGGTAGATTTACTTGAAAGCAATACAGGCTAATTAGTGTATTGCAATTTTCTTTGAAACTTCATCGTGGAATCTCTTTTTGGAGGGTTCCGAAACTGAGAGAGTCAAGCCATAGCTTGTATTCGAATCCCCGAATCATTATCTCATATCTGTCTAAAGAAGTTTTATATAGATTTAAGTCCATTGGATGAATGAAAATTGGTTACGATAAACACAAGTATGCTTTAACCTATTTCCTTTTGAAATTTATTTGCAAGCAGAAATAATATATATATTAAAAGAATTGACATGAATAAAAAACTGACCGATTAAATTTTGACCTGAATTGAAAATCGATCTATCTAGTAATGGTTTGACCCAAAAATCGATTGATATGATATTGGTCATGTTTGATATATGACTCGATTCAATTTATCATGGGTTAGAATTAAGTTCAAATCAAATTATATGGTTGGCATCAAAATTGAACTGAATACCATTTAAATTTAAAATCATCTAATCTAAAATGATTTAATTAAAATCTGATTAAAACGATGTGATTATCACAATTCAATGTATAAATTTTTTATGATTATCGGACATGAAGAGTTTTAGACAAAAATGATGATAATAATGCCTTAATTTAGGAACCAAACAGCAGCATCATAGGTGTCTTTAGTAGTCGTTATCCAATAAGAAAGTTGTCTCTTATAACACGACAGGCATCCTTCTACATATTCGAACAATACGCTTGCTGTATATTTTGTTTTGTTTATACATAAAAATCCAGAAAGAAAAATGACTGGTTTCGAGAGAGGAAACAAGAAAACCAAAGGATCTAATGAGTGTCTCACTTCCCTGGTTAACTTCGAAGGTATCCCATTGCTTCCCGGGCTTCCAGATGATGTGGCCAATTACTGCCTTGCTCTCGTTCCTCGTTCGTGCTTCCCCACCATGGGCGGCGAATGCAAGACGTGGAGATCGTTCATTCAAAGCAATGAATTCTTACGGGAGCGAACGTTGGCAGGTGTGCTTGAAGACTGGCTTTATGTTTTGACTATGGATTCCCAAGGAAATGATAGGCTGCGGTGCGAGGTTTTTGATCATTTGGGACATAAACGTCAGCTTGTTCGACCCATGCCTGGGCCTGCAAAACTGGGATTTGGGGTAACTGTCGTTAACGGAAAACTTCTTTGCATGGCAGGCTTCTCAGTCATCAATGGAGTGTCTTCGGCTTCCCCAGATGTTTACCAATATGATCCTTGCCTCAACAGGTTTGTTTATAAACCCTAATTATGAAAAAATTTATATTAGATTAAAATTTGAGCCAATATCTAATTGCAGATGGAGTAAGTTAGCAGACTTAAATGTTGCTCGTGGCGATTTTGCATGGTTTATGTCGTTGGAGTACGGGATTGAAGGTAAAGGTCTCTCCATCGTAGAGGTGTACGACCCTGAAACAGGTAAATGGACTCTTACCGAGAGCCTCCGTCGACCACGGTGGGGCTGCTTTGCATGCGGATTGAATGGGAAACTTTACGTCTTGGGTGGAAGGTCGAGCTTCACAATCGGACACTCAAGGTACGTCGATGTTTACGACCCTGGGAAGCGCCACTGGTGTGAACGGTTGTGTCATGGTCACCATCCATGCGGTGGTGGAGAAGAAGCTTTTCTGCATAGAATGGGGGAACCAGCGGAAGGTGGCGATATTTGACCCGGATAACGGTTCCTGGAAGAGGGTTCGGGTTCCGGTGACAGGGAGTACAAGTATAGGGTCCGATTGGGGAACAAGGTTGGGAAACTTGTACTTTTCTCGGCTGAGGGTGATCAAACACTGGTGTATGATCCGAATGCAACACCGGATTAAGAATGACGGACTAATATAAAGCCTTCGGGTTTATGCCTATGCAGTGTGACAATCAAAGCTTGAATGTGTATATATATATATATATATATATATATATATATATTACATCTTAAATTACTAGAATGAAACATGTAGATTAGGCAATGATTCTCAAGTTAAGAAACTTAGCAATGCGGAAGTGAAAAATAATAAATTTTTTTCTCAATAAAATAAGGAAATTTTCACCACCGTTGATACCGAAGATATTTCAATATCATATTTCAATTTATATTTTTTAATTCAATTAAATACTTTAGTTTAGATTATGTTATATAACTTTTTTTAAAATTATAGAATAAATATATTTTATAGAATAAACTCATTGAAATATAAAAAAATGAAAATGAAAATTATAATTTTAACTCTATTTTTATAAAAAAAAGTCATTTTAAAAAAAAATTTGCGTTTAAATTAAAAAAGTTACATTCTAAACATAATTTTTTTAAAGAAAAATTATATACTCAATATTAATTCTGACTGTAAACACACACTTTCTAACAACAATATTAAACCAAACTCCATAATTTACTTTTTTATACAAGAAAAGCTAGTGCAAAATCTACGTCTAATACTCGTGATAGGTTATTTTCAAATGGAGGAGAAGAGGTAGTGTAGTTCTGCAAGGTGTGATCAACTTGGTGTAGTGGAGCTCAGAACAATTGAGAAGCTGCCCGTCTAGCTCAGTTGGTAGAGCGCAAGGCTCTTAACCTTGTGGTCGTGGGTTCGAGCCCCACGGTGGGCGAAATTTTTTACTTTCCCGATTTATTAATTTTTACGATCTACCAACGCTTCTTCTTACCACAGATACTACTCTTTCATCTTTTATTATCATCTTTTCTTTCGCACCAATTTACCTTTCGACTCTCTCTCTTTTGAATTGTAAATATCAAATTGATTATTGATTTAAGGTTACCATCTGTATTTCAAGAATTTCTCTCAAGGAAGACACTTTCTAATTGTAGTGGTAACTTACTAATCAAATGCACTGATAATATCCCAATTACTGCGACTTCTTTTATCTTTTGGGAGCTGAGATTGAAGAGGGTGAGAGGTGGATGTGAACTAAGGAATTGGAATTAGGAAATCAAAATGCTAATCTCTCAATTTCTTTGCTTTTCAATTGATCATTTTCCGGTTTTGCATTAATTTCATTTATTATATTTGATCATTTGAGGGATATTTTGCTTCGATTAGGTGCTCACAATGAGATCTTTGATTGCAGACATTGTCATAATGAGGCAAAGGCACGGCCTTGAAGAAGTTAATATTAGCATGGCTTCTTCATTTGTTTATACTTCACTTATCATTCTCTCTGTTGTTCTTTGAGATCTTTTAGAAACTCAGAAGTCCACATAATTTTTCATATAATTTCACATGTTTTGAAAATCATGTTGTTTGTGTTCCATTGAAGATTGATCTTGATTTTTTAGTTCACGAGTTGTTTAATTTATTTTGGTTCAAAAGTTCGTATATCTATGTGAGTTGAATGCTTCAAAAGTTCGTGTACCCATTGACCCTTTATAACCAACCCTCTTGTAACTATGAACTCAAAATTCAATAAAACAAAATGTGTGGAAATGGCCAAAAGAACATGTGAAAAGCATCCATTCTTGGAACATTCTTATTTCTAGATATTTACGACATGAACACTTTGATAAAACAAACGAACCCCAAGTTCAAACTTAAAACAAAACTTCATTGGTTCCAAATTGAAGTCAAGCTCGAGTTCAAGAATCGTGCCACTCAAACTCGACTCAATTACACCTGCGACTCCAGAGCTTAGCACAATCCAGGCTATTTTTATTCTATTCACGTTACTTCCATGACCATTCATTTCAATATCTACAATGTAGATGATGCAACCACTTCAATTATAGGGAAACGTTTTATTTTTATCCTTTTGTCAGTTACCCCAGAAACATCTATGATCATTGAAAAACACGGACATCATTGTATGCTCAAAATTGTTCGTTAACTATGTTCATCAAAACAAGTATCAAAACAAGTATCCCCCAGGCATTAGACAAGTTCATTATTTTTCTAAAACATGAAATGTTGTTAACACAACAGCTTAGGATAAAACAAATAATACACTGCCAGACCATCAGATGCCCGAGAGTCGCCTATGCTTCAAGTTTTGAGTACTTCAAGTTTATTCCATAATAGTCACTTGCAATAGGAATATGATTCCCTACATAGCATTAAAGAACTTGTCAAAAAACTTCACATGGTAACTTGGCAATTGCTATGAACTGAATATATGCTGTAAGAATATACAAAGGATAAGAAAACAGGTGATAACATATACTATCCTACTAATTTCCATGGCTTAAAGAGAGGGAAGTAAATGTTAATCATGCACTGCCTCAATAAACTTGTGTCCTATACTGCCATTTTCCACTTGAAAATGATTAAACTTGATTAGGGTATTATGCCTTATGCCTCCTTTGCCGTTTCTTTCACGTTATTTTAACAAAATCATCATCTCGAGACTAGGAAACCAGATACTAATGAGTAAAGAAACTATGTAAAGTTCTTTTGACCATTTCTAAGTGACCAGGCAACTACAGGTAAGGTTGCCACTGCCAGTCGATATGAAGGGAATTTACAATGAATTCCTTGAGGACATTAAAGGAAATAAGTTAATTCTCAATCAGTCATCTGCAGGTATCGTACAATTAAGCACACCATATTTTTTCTTTCTTCTTTCTTCTCATGAAACAATTCATGTACGTACCACAGGTGTGTTGTGAAAGCATGCATAATGTGGATGACAGAAAACAAGTTGGACAATCAATTACATAATTCCATAGAAAAGAAAATTTTCACATAAAAAAATGGAAATTGATTATTATAAATGCCAAAAATAACAAGCTAAGAGTACATATTTCAGAAGGGAAAAAAATGCATTAACAAATTGAAAGTCAAAAAGATGACAGAAGCAACCTGAACAGAAACTAAGCAGAAGCCTCCAGCAATTCCCTTTCAGCACGCTCTCTAATCCTTCTCTCGAGCTCTGGCCTGAAGTGTCGTATTAGA